TACATACATACATACATACATACATACATACATACATACATACATACCATACATACATACATACATACACATACAAACATACATACGTACATATGCCCATCCACCCATTCAACCATACACACATTTCAGCGCTGCAGGCAGGGTTTCGGAGAGAGCAGGCTCCACAACCTTCAATCCTTGATTCATACCTTTGGTCCAGTGGTTATAACAGCCTTGGACCATGATCGCGCAAAATTGAGTTTTTGGCGCACGTGTGGCCTGCAACAAAGTTGAATAGGTTTGCTATATACGAGTCATCCTCAACACAAAGAGACCGGTTCGCCAAACTTCAGCTGTGTCAGAAAGTCCTTCTCGTGGGAACAAAAGAAAGGAGAGAGCAAATCGTCGAGATCGGTCGGGGAACCATTTGGACACGTCAATGTTGAGCAGAAAACGGGTGAAATCTCAGAATCCTTTTCAACGAGGTGGGCAGAACTTCACGTGATTAAAGTCATCGTGAAGAGGTCCAAGCCTACATCACGTTGAGAGGAGGTCTGTCAAGCGCATGACAGGCTGGCTCAGCCGCAATCCAGACGCTGGTGTAATGTAAGGTACGCATGGGGAGGGAAAGGTGAGGGCAATCTGGATGAAGAGACCTGGGAGGCCAATATAGGCGCTGGCGATGAAGAATTCTCTGGAGTTGAAAGCGTCCGCTCACAGGCTTCTTCTCGAGAAGACGCGATCAGGCGGAAAAGGTTGCGAGAATGCCCTCCTTTCGAACAATTCTAGCAGTGATAGATATACAGAACAGCACCCCGCGTGGAACAAGTAGTTTCGGCTTCTGCGCGCGGCTTTTGCTCAAAGGATTGGGTCTTGTTCGGCCCCTGCGCATGCGCAGTGTCATGCGCAAGGCAAACGTCCGGCGCCAGGTCGGCAACGCTGGCTCAGGAAGGCACAGTGTGTTCGTCGGTGATCGAAGAGGGACGATAACATTCATGTTGAAGGGACTCTGCTCGTGACTGCCCGGCTGCCAGACTCCCTGGGTCACAGTCAAAAAGTTTCCCAGTTAACAAGAGATTGAGCAGACCTGCACTTTGAGCATCAACTTAGGGGACGAAAATAATGAAATTGACTTCACGCTCAAATTCCCCACAACAAGTTCCTGCCAGCATCGCCGCGATTTTGTTCGAAGTCACGCGCCGCCCCAAGAGCGAGCTAACCTGTCCAATTTTGAAGCTGAGCAAGGCTTGACTTCGAGACCTTTCAGATATCGTGAAGAAGACCTTATAAAACAAAAGCCACGCGACGAAGTTTGTTGCGCCACACACCGTTCCATCGCGCCCGAAACATCTGAGCAAGCATGAATCGCTTAGTTACGAAATTTGCTGAATCAAAGAAAAAGTTTGGTAACTCGCTTTGGCCAGATTGTTGCGCGAGCACCAAGTGAGTCGCGATCAGCGCTCTCACTGCGAATAGCCTCATGGATCACACACGTCGCCCCTGCGTTGTCTTGAACCAACCGCAGAAGACAAAGTCGAGCACTTCTGACTTTCGCCGAGTAGGGAGTCTGCAAGAACCTGTCTCAAGAACAGCTATCAGAAAATGGTTGCTTTTGTGTAACAGATCATGATCTTTCAACTGGAGCCATGTCCAAACACAAAGAATGTCTATCCGTTGAAAAACCTTCCGTGAAATTAGAAGACCAAACGAAAAAGCCGGAAACAGCAAACCATAACAAAGCAAAGCAGAGAGAATCGGCGAAGAGAGCGCCCGAGGCTTGGAACCTACGTCGGAAGCTCAACGCCGTGGACCTTAACCTTGAAAGCGTTCTACACACAGCTAGGATGCAGTTCGGAAATCAACGACATGCCCACGCAGATCTCGGGCGTTCGACTAGCGTAGAGGTCAACGGGCCAGGGATTGCAAAAAGCAAGCGCACACCCCACCCCGACAAGGTTTCTGGGGCGTAGAAGCATGGGTGACATCAAATCGACCAACCATGTACGCAAGCTATTCTTCTTCTACCACTTCGACATTTTATGTTGCCCAGCGCTCCACTTTACTTTAGCCACAGACAGCCCCCCCCCTCATCACTTAGAGGATCCAACGCTGCCGATTGGACATCTAAATCTACACACGACAATGTTTTGTACAAAAAGTTGTCGTTTTTAGAAAACGCTCTCGTTTCCATCGCATAAAGTCAATAGCGCATTTAAACCTTTTACGGCACCACGGGTGTCTACATGTAGATATATACGGCGCGCGGTGGGTGAGCAGCCCCACACTAGCTTAGCGTTGGCAACGCAAACGACAACGGTGGATTGCAATGATGGACACATGATCACATGATGTGATCTGAGCAATTCACGCATTGCATTGCAAAATGTTACGGCTGCGTGGAAAGGTGTCAAAAACGACAGTGATGTGGACGTTGTCGTTTCCGTGAAGCGGTGCCTGCCACAATGACACATTGCAGGGCGCTGTCGTTTCCGTGAAACGGTGCCGGTTACTTTGACACGGCGCGTGTCACTGCAAACGCTGTCGCTTCCGTGAAACGGTGC